TGACAAGAGGAAACAGTACACTCCTGAAGAAAATTTGCTTGCAACAGTTGTCTTTGAGATAGGGGTAAACACTATTGGCCTTGTGCCTTTACTTGGGAAGCTTGACTTGTTTGATCCTGCCGTCGAAGACTGAACCCAGTATGTGGAAAGATTGCATTATTTTTTCCAGGCAAATGACACTGGGGCAAATGAAAAGCAATGAGTAATTCTTCTGACTGCTTGCGGACCTGCAGCATTTTTGGTTATTAGGAACCTTACTTCCCTGAGGTACCAGATACTAAAACCTTTCAAAAGTTGATGGATTTGATTAGGGAATATTACTACCCCAAGTTTCCTCTAAATCTGAGATGCTACTAGTTTTACTTAACAGTTGGTAGTGATAGTGGAAACAAATGGGACATCACAACCAGAATTAAAACCTGGTGAGACCAGATCACCTTAGAGGATGGGATGTTATTATGGGGAGCAAGAGTGATTGTCCCAAGTAAAGGTCACTGTCAGATACTGGCTGAACTCCACCAGGGTCATCCTGGGGTTTCCAAAATGAAAATATTGGAAAGGAGTTACGTTTGGTGGCCAGGATTGGATGTTGACATAGCTGCATTGGTGGGGCAGTGCTCAGAGTGCCAATAAGAACTAAAATTACCACTAGCATATCCCGCACATTCATGGGAATGGCTGGATAAACCCTGGACTCAGTTACATGTCAACTATGCAGGTCATTGCATGGGCTCAACGTTCCTGGTTATTGTGGATGTCCATTCAAAGTGATTGGATGTACATGGAGTTCATTCAGCAAACTGAGCAAACTGATTGAGAAGCTGTGAGCAGCATTCATAGTACACGGACTCCTAGAAGTATTGATCACAGAGACTGGGACATCATTTACCAACAGGAATTTCAAATATTTCCTAAAGTCAAATGGCATTCGGCATGTTTGGACAGCTTCATACCATCCATCACCCAATGGTCTGGCAGAAAGAATTGTGCAAACATTGAAGGCAGGCTTAAAGAAACAGCCTTCAGCTTCATTAGATACCAAACTGTCCCAGTTCCTGAAGAAAAGGAGGAACTTCTCCCAAGATGCTCTGGGCACAAGAGATGGGCTACAGTCCATTACACGCTGCCCGTGTCCAAGTCAGAGTCAGAAGAACAAGACCTGGAGTGAAAACATTGTGGGAGAAGCTACAAGATTTGTAATTGCAGATACATTCTATTTTGTTCAAAAGGCACACAATTTATAGACAGTCAATGTGGCATTTTATAAATTCCTACTTTGGAAATAAAATCAGTCGAACTCCAAGTTGATACACAGCCAGTTCTAAACAAGGCCTCACATCTAAAATGCATTGTCTGACCTGAGATGTCACCTCTAGTATACTATTAAAACCTTGAGTTATCTCGGGACAGTGACTTGAAAGAAATTCTGGGATTTGTATATTAATCCTTTCTAACTAATTAAAGATTTAACAGCCATCTTAGATTTGGTCAACACATTCGCATCAGTTCTATGACCCTTCAATCTTTTGCTTATAAATTCTGGGTCTGATGCCACCTCTCTCACTGACACCTGAAGAAGGAGCGAGACTCCAAAAGCTTGTGTCTTCAAATAAACCTGTTGGACTATAACCTGGTGTCATGTGATTTTTGACCTTGGACAAGAAGAAGAACAGACCTGCATCCTGGTCTTGGTGGGAGAGGAATAGAATGATTGGAACAAGGTTGGCCAGGTAGATCTCATTAATTATGTGTTTCCCCATTGGGGCTGTTAACCTGGGCCAATCAGGGAGCCCTGGCTGACAGATGTAAACAAGGTTCTGTTCACGCTAGGGACTGGCTCTGAACTAGCCAGTCAGAGTCCATGTACTGTGCGCATGTAAGTAAAGGGTGACTTGGTACAGGGTAGCGGCCTCTGTTCAGTTATTTCAGTGCATCTTGCTTAAGACAAGGACCTCTTCTCGTTAGCCCACTAAGTAGTATTGCATACTGCACTAGACGAAGCAACCATGTAGATTCCAACCAGGAAAAAGGGTGGTGGCAACAAATCTACCAGATTATTTTTTCAACAAATGACATGTGTCCAGTAACCATCAACAGCACTTTCCAGCTAAAAAAAGTGTGTAGTCAATATTCTAATGTAGGAAACACAGCAATTTGTGCACGGCAAATTTCTACAAACAGCAATGTGATAAAGACCACATTTTACAAAATGATGTTTGTTCAAGAGTAAATATTAGCTAGGACTTTGTATAGAATTGTCCTGTTCTACTTCAAAATAGCGACATGGAATCTTTTACATCCACCTAGTTAAATAAAAGGGGCGTCGGTTTAACACCTCATCTGAAAGATAGGATCTCTGACTGTGCAGCATGTCTTCAGGACAACACATTCGAGCAATTAGGTTTTATCATCAAAGTAATTACATTGAAGCTCAAGCCATTCATAAGACCTCCAAGAATGTCTAAAGAATTTCCCAGTGCAGCTTTTTAAGTATTGTAAAATGCAATCTTTCTTAGATGTATAACATTACTGTATGAATACAAATTTAAAGTCAACTATGTTAAGCCCAGGATCCAGGCAAGGTTCTGCAAACAGTTTGGGGGTTCCAGATGGGATATCTCAAATTGTTACACTCTGGGGTGAGGAGGGATAAACTGGCTCCACTTCTTTATTCACCTGTCCCCTCTGCTGGTCACAACAAGATTAACCTAAAAATGGATCCCTTCCTTTGTGGATTCATTTCTCCTAAATCAATATGAACTTACATTTAAAAACATATCTGATTGAACTAGGTTTTCGCAAATTAACAAGTAATGAATTTATTTATCACTAAATACTAAATATGGCTGTTCTCTGAATTGTTCATGAAGAATGTGCAATTGAACATTGTGGTCATTGCACTGAAGGTAACCAGTAAAGTTGGCATTGATAGTTCAACTGTTGGTTTCAAGATTCTTAGTGTTGCAGATTGGTTGAGATTCTGTTGGTGATTTTTTTCTGAACATCACAGTTCCGGCATTCAAGTTGTGAAACAGTAATTTTGTTGTCCTGATTTTTTTTCTCTAGCTTGATAGCTGACTGACTTCTAGCACTCAGAGTGAATGAATCCTTTTACCTACAATGCCAGAATGACTAGGTGATAATTCTTTGCCTATGACTTTCATAGCATGCTAATGCTCAAACCCACGCTGGTACACCTTAGCCCCCTCATTCCAACTTGGACACAGAAAAAAAATTAAACCTAGCTTTTTAGCCCCTGTCCTTGCATATTTTCAATCAAACCATACATTATATCTGCAGTTTGGGATATAATCCACAGAGGGTGAGCAGCGGTTGTGAGACATTCACTTTCCCTGTACTCAAAACATCACAATTCAGTCAGTTTGGACTTACCACTTCACCCATTCAAGGTTGTTGTTTGAAGTTCTCTTTGTGTCCTTAGTTGTGACATTCCATAGTTCTCTCTCTCTCTGGGCAGCCAATTCATTTGTGTCCACAGCCAGCTTTGGCTATATAGGGGTTGGCCGAAACGTCAGCCTTCCTGCTCCTCTGATGCTGCTTGGCCTGCTGTGTTCATCCAGCTCTACACCTTGTTATTCCAGTAATGCAAATTGGCCATAAAGCAACTGATGTGTAGGGGAACACTATTTCTAAAATGCGAACTTGTGTTGGCTATAACATGATTTCATCGAGTACACATCGACATCGCAGGCTTTGTCAAAGGAAAATTTCTTTTTTCAATCCTTACAGATAGTGTAAATATTCAGAGTAAGTCACAATCAGTTCATTTGAAAAAGGTAATTGGATTGAATGTCATAAACCTCTAATATAATACAACACAGAGGACAGCTGTCTTATTAGGAAAATATATGAAGTCGTAATTTGAAGAGTTTATGCTGAACACATTAAAAGCAAAAAATGAAGTATTGTTTAAAATAATGTGAGTACTATTAAAACATACATCTTTACGTGTAGTATTTTTGCTGAGATTTTGTTACATATTTAACATGTAAGAACTTTTGAACCTGCTCATGTAAATCATGTATTTGAAAAAAAAAGCTTGTTTTAGAATTACAAGTTAAAATATTCCTGGTACTTCAGGGTTCTGACCCATGGTCATGACAGTTAGTTAGACAAGTGAAACTTAAACACTTACATCATTTTTGAGTTCAACTAAAATATGTAAATCACTTTATTCTGATAGTTTTCAGACAACTTGGACCATGTGGAATTTGTTAACTCCCATTCTTTTTCGCATTAACAGTGATGCCAATGCGAGAATTGACAGCTCTGGGGCAAAAGTGATGTGAAAGGAACTGTTCCACCATCCATACATTTTCAAAATTAGTGAAATTTCATTTTCTCAACAATAGAAAATTCATGTTGTTGGATACGGTATATGTCTCAGTTCACGAGAGAGACATTAATTGAATTGTGTGGATCAGATTTCTCTATCACCTACATCTGAAGTCTTGAAGCATGTAGCTGATTCGAAACTTTCCCTTCTATAAATACTATTCAAGACTCAATCTTTCATAATTATGGACGTTGTCACGAGCAAACTAACGCTGAATTTTGTTATTAAAATTTGCAGCCACAACCAGCTCCAACGTGCGTTAATATTTTAGTTATGTACATTCAGTTAAGGCAAAAAAGTAATGTAAGGGAAGGTGGTCTTGATCAATGAATAATTCGACGTGTCTTACGTGTGTGTGGCTCTGATGCATTTCAAGCTCCCTAGCTGGTGAAAGGTTTGCCTGATATGGCAGGAGTTCTGAGGGAGCCCTTACTACCACCAGGGACCTCTCTTGCCTCATTGTATTGTATGAGAGCCGTACATCAGCTTGCGAGAAGGCAGTAATGTCACACTCGCAGTAACAGCTGCAGGGGGTGTGTGGTTTTAAGGGGAAAGCAGAGGCTGTGAGGCGTGGTGGGGCGGTGTGAGTGTAAACAGCCTGGATATGCAGATACAGCTTCCTGGCTGAAAATCATAGCCGAGAAGCAAGCTGGAGTCTCACATGTTGGGAAAGACTGACGAGAGATCGAGAAAAGGGGAAAAAATAGCATCAGATTTTGTTGTATATGGGAAACCAGTGGCCAGTGTTCTATCTGGAGAAAAGATTCAAAACAAAAGACGGAACGTACTGTAAACAAGACAGCCCAGGAAAAGGTGAGCCATGTCTCCAACTATATTTACAATGGCTGTTTCTCTATTAAAATTTGGTATGCACAATATAGACATACAGTTTGCAGCGTGAATTAGAGCCACAGTCAATGCTCTGCCAACAATCAGCCACCCAGTTCTGCAGTCAAAGCCGACCGAGATACTAAACTGTCTAGTCAGCAGTAACCTTAGAACTGAAACAATGGCAAACACTTCTGGTTTAAACTTCTGTTTGATTATTGGGTCTGTGTCTGGAAAACAATGGGGTTCTCTACACCAGGCTAATCTTTTGAACCATACATAATAAAACCTGGTATATTCTGCAGCTAGCTTGTTTTCCTTTGTGTTTGGGTATTATTGGTGCTAATCCAGCACAAGTAAATCAGACCATACTTTTGTGCTGGAAAACATCCGTCGTAATTTTACTTAAGGCATCAACGATAAGCTTACTGGCCGCATTGTAGCTGAGAGGTGTTGTTTAGGATTCGAGAATGAGTGAAGATTTTGAGTGGTTCTCTGAAGAGAAACCTACGCAGCCTCGGTGGGAATACCGTGGTTTTAAACCAATTGCACTGAACTGGGGATGGACATGTTTTAATATCTGTTCTTAAACAGGGCCAGCTGTAATATTAAAACCTTAATTTTGTGTTTTATTTATTTCGAAGAAGCCTATTAATAATTGAAATAAATATTTGAATTCCTTTTCTAATTTGAAGCCATTATTTATTTACATGCTTGCTGGTGTGCAGAAAATGAGTGGGAATCTCTTGTCTTTTCTTTAAAAAATATGAAAATTCGGTTCCTTGTCTGTCTGATTATTATGCTAATTCTCCAGGGATAGTTAACCGAGTTCTTTGTTTTAATTGCCAATCTCAATAAGGCTCTCCTGCTATTTCATTTTCTTGTAAGCACCTGTGAGATTAATTGCATCGCTGCATTCAAGGTTAACCTTAGTGGAGTTTTAATCCCGTTTACCTGAGGCTACAAATGCAGTCCACATCCAGAACACAGCGTGTTGGATCTTAACTAGCAGAGAACAAAGCAGTGGCTAAGCAGCAAGAAAAGTCATTTTTGTGGCAGACAGGATTTACAATATTTTTCTATTGTTGTAAGCATTGGGCATGCTATTTGTATTATATTGAAGATTAATTATTGCTCAATATTTGTACTTTTAACCCAGAATCCTTCTAAAGCAGACAGGATTTAATAAAAGACAATATATTCCTGAAATGGTACAGGATTTTGGATGATTTTCCAGTATTTGATTTTCATATGACTCAAAAGAACTACCTTTTCTATCCTTCAATTCAAACTATGTACAGAATATCAATGATCCTCCACATAAATTAGTCTTTCCGTTCAGATGTATAACTCTAATTAGACTAATGTTAATAAGATGTAGATAAATCCCACTATTTTAATCATCCTGCCAAGTTCTAATATACTAATTTTCTTTATATTTTCCTCCCTAGTTTAGAAAAATTAGCTGAAGCAACCAATATACCATGTTAACTTGAAATAAATGCAATCAACAAGAATAAAATGTAATCTGAAGCTGGTCTTGTGTGTCTGCTTTCCTATTAATTTCAATGAAAAGCTGCCTTAAAAACTCTCACAGTATCGCACAAATCTGGTGGTTTGTTTATTTGTATGAGTTTTCATTTTAAATCCTACCATGACATGGGCCGTAGTCAAACATCATTCTGCAATGGAGTGATCAGGACAGTTTTATCAGTGACTACCATCAGACAGAGGAGCTGAGAACAGGTAACAAAATGCATAAGAGATAACAAGGTGTAGAGCTGGATGAACACAGCAGGCCAAGCAGCATCATAGGAGCAGGAAGGCTGACGTTTCGGGCCTAGACCATTCATCAGAAATGGGGGAGGGGAAGGGGGTTCTGAAATAAATAGGGAGAGAGGGGGAGGCGGATAGAAGATGGATAGAGGAGAAGACAGGTGGAGAGGAAACGGACAATTCAAAGAGGCGGGGATGGAGCCAGTAAAGGTGAGTGTAGGTGGGGAGGTAGGGAGGAGATAGGTCAGTCCAGGGAGGACGGACAGGTCAAGGGGGCGGGATGAGGTTAGTAGGTAGGAAATGGGGGTGCGGCTTGAGGTGGGAGGAGTGGATAGGTGGGAGGAAGAACAGGTTAGGGAGGTGGGGACGAGCTGGGCTGGTTTTGGGATGCGGTAGGGGGAGGGGAGATTTTGAAGCTTGTGAAATCCACATTGATACCATTGGGCTGCAGGGTTCCCAAGCGGAATATGAGTTGCTGTTCCTGCAACCTTCGGGTGGCATCGTTGTGGCACTGCAGGAGGCCCAGGATGGACATGTCGTCTGAGGAATGGGAGGGGGAGTTGAAATGGTTCGCGACTGGGAGGTGCAGTTGTTTATTGTGAACCGAGCGTAGGTGTTCTGCAAAGCGGTCCCCGAGCCTCCGCTTGGTTTCCCCGATGTAGAGGAGGCCACAACGGGTACAGCACTTGCAGTATACCACATTAGCAGATGTGCAGGTGAACATCTGCTTGATGTGGAAAGTCTTCTTGGGGCCTGGGATGGGGGTGAGGGGGTAGGTGTGGGGGCAGGTGTAGCACTTCCTGCGGTTGCAGGGAAAAGTGCCGGGTGTGGTGGGGCTGGAGGGGAGTGTGGAGCGGACAAGGGAGTCACGGAGAGAGTGGTCCCTCCGGAAAGCAGATAAGGGTGGGGAGGGAAAAATGTCTTTGGTGGTGGGGTCGGATTGCAGATGACGGAAGTGTCGGAGGATGATGCGTTGGATCCGGAGGTTGGTGGGGTGGTACGTGAGGACGAGGGGGATTCTTTTTTGGTTGTTATTGCAAGGACGGGGTGTGAGGGATGAGTTGTGGGAAATGCAGGAGACACGGTGGAGGACGTTCTCGACCACTGAGGGGGAGAAGTTGCGGTCCTTGAAAAACGAGGACATCTGAGATGTACGGGAGTGGAATGCCTCATCCTGGGAGCAGATGAGGCGGAGGCAAAGGAATTGGGAATAGGGGATGGCATTTTTGCAGGAAGGTGGGTGGGAGGAGGTGTATTCTAGGTAGCTGTGGGAGTCGGTGGGCTTGAAATGGATATCGGTTTCTAGGTGGTTGCCCGAGATGGAGACAGAGAGGTCCAGGAAGGTGAGAGAGGTGTTAGAGATGGTCCACGTGAACTTAAGGTTGGGGTGGAAGGTGTTGGTGAAGTGGATGATACCCTATTTTTGGCATTCAAACAAATTACCTGTAAGGATTTGCCTAATTACATAAAGAACAGTAATTTCTAGTTTAACGTGTTAACACTGTTGAATCTATCCTTTACATTGCTCAATGTTGTCTCTAGAATTTAAATAAAGGCTAGTTGGTGAGGGAATGAATAAAACAATTTGCATAAATTCTTTAGCAGTGTATGCACCAATATGAAGGTGCATTGAAATCATGTTTACTTTTTTTTGATTTGAGTTATTATTGTCACATGTATCTAGTAGAGTGAAAAGTACCGTTTTGCGTGCAGTACAGGCAGATCGTACCATACAAAATGCATAAGGGTAATAGAATAGAGTGAGGAATACAATGCTACGGCTGCAGAGAAGATGCACAAGGGGCAAGGTCAACATTAAATTTGAAAGATCCATTCAGAAATGGATCTAATAACAGCAAGGAGAAGTTGTTCCTTAATCTGTTGGTCTGTGTGTTTAAGCTTTTGTGTCTTCTGGGAATTGTCTAAGTGAGATCTTCTTTTAGAATTCACACAGCTTTCTTTTTGGTCCGAACATTTATTGTTTCTGTAAAGTATTCCATATTCACAGGCAAAGGATTTCTGAAGTAATGGGATATAATAGCTGTGCAGCCCGGGGGATGAAGTTGCATCTTACTGTTTATGACATTTTCAAAGGGGATCCACAATGGTTTTTTGCTGGAGTCTCAGCTGAGCTGAGGTCAGGAACTCAGCAATAAGGAGGATGAGATATGTAAACCTACACCCTAGCATTGCAGTACCTTATGTTGATGTTTCAGCTGCCTGCACAACAAAGATACCCATGGTTGTGGTCAAGAAAGCACAACAACGCCTCTATTTCCTCAGGACACTAAGGAACTTCAGCATGTCCATAAAGCCTCTCGCCAATTTTTATGGATGCACCATAGAAAGCATTCTATCTGGCTGTATCATGGCTCAGTATGGCAACTGTTCTGCCCAGGACAGTAAGAAACTAAAGACAGTTGTGAACACAGCCCAAATCATCACGCAAGCCAACCTTCTATCCATTGACTCCATCAATACTTCAAACTGCCTTGGAAAGTCCAACATAATCAAAGACTCCACCCACCCTGGTTCATAGATCATAGAATCCCTACAGTGTGGAAACAGGCCCTTTGGCCAAACAAGTCCACACTGACCCTCAGAGCATCCCACCCAGACCCACCCCCTAATCTACACATCCCTGAACACTACAGGCAATTTTAGCACGGCCAATCCACTGAGCCTGCACATCTTTGGACTGTGGGAGGAAACCCACACAGACACGGGGAGAATATGCAAACGCCACACAGACAGTCGCCTGAGGGTGGAATCGAACCCGGGTCCCTGGTGTTGTGAGGCAGCAGTGCTAACCACTGAGCCGCTGTGCTGCCCTTGAGGTAATTTGCTGCCTCCTAAGAATCATTTTTCTGCATACATTTCCACAGGCATCCTTAAATGTTCCAACTTTGAAATATTAGCTGTTTCCTATAGTTTTCTGCTAATCCGGGTGAACTCGAGAGAAACTGTTTTAATTATGGCATTGTTTCTTCGAACATATCTCTGAAGAATGTGTATGTACATAGTGTTATTCATGTAGAAAACAGGTAAAAAGATTGTACCTGCACAAACTTTTAGACAGATTCAAGGTGGAATCAAATGCTTTACAACTAATATAGCTGCTTTACTGAGAAATAAGGCAAAATTGATTGTTGAGCCAAAGCTAAATCGTTTCAGAGTTTTGTAGGAGGAAAGGTAGGTTCAGATGCAGA